GCAGGAAATGCAAGCCTGCGTGTACACCCACCACTACCCTGCAGTGCTTCTGGTTTTCTTGCACAGCCTGGCTTCCTCGTGGGTTGGGCCCTTTTCCCTCTCATGCATGTAGTACTGCAGTGCTTCCCAAAATCCTGATAGTTGCAGGACAAGCTTTTTATGAGTTGAACTGGGAGCTGCGCTTCACTTTTATATCACAGAAATGTTGTGGTTACTGAATTAAGTAAATAAATCATAAAAGTTAACCCATCTCCAAAAGATGTTTGCTGCCTGTGTTTTCCGGCATGAGTCACTGTTCTGCTAATTTCTTCTGGCTACTGTGAAGGGAGGGCAGCCTAGAGCAGTGACTCGTACAGAAATCTGTGGGGTAGCCTTCCATGAGGGCAGCAAGGCGCCTTCTCCCTCTCTCTGCATTTACCTGCTCCTAATATAATCAGCCACCTCCCCAGAGGCAGGTTTAGGCACCCAGGTCTGAGCAGTGGATCATGCAGAGATGCAGTGGGCATTCTCCTCTCTGGCTGGAGGCCCGGGGCTCTCAAGCAGTGTTCCCTCTAAGCTGAGTTAGTGTGAGCTGGCTCACAGTTTTTTAGCCCGCAGCCCAGGAAGGAGGGCTCCAGAGCAAACGTAATTCATGCAGCAGCCAAGTCGCTCGCTCACAGCTTTAAGGCCGGTCGCTCACGAAGCAGAATTTTTGCTCACGAGACTCTCCACAGCTTAGAGGGAGCATTGCTCACAGGAGCCCTTGACGTCTGTGTCTGTTCATTGCAGCACTGAACTGAGTTTCTCAGTTTGGTGTCGTGGTTAAGGGCGCGGACTCTAATCTGGGAGAACCGGGTTTGATTCCCCACGCCTCCCCTGGCAGCTGCTGGATGACTTTGGGCAAGCCGTAGTTCTGATAAGAGCTGTTCTTGAAAAAGAGCCGTTTCTGTCAGAGCTCTCTCAGCCCCACCTACCTCCCAGGGTGTCTGTTGTGGGGAGGGGGAGGGAAAGGAGAATGTTGGCCGTTCTGAGACTCCTTTGGGTAGTGAAGGGCCATGGGGTAGAAATCCAATCTCTTCTCCTCTTCTTCTCCTTCAGCATTTGCTCCGATACCCTTTGGCGGGATTTACCTGCCCTTGGAGGTCCCGGCCAGCAAGTGCCACCGTTCCCCCCTCGTGTTGGCGTACGACCAGGCCCACTTCTCTGCCCTGGTGTCTATGGAGCAGAAGGATCCCACCAAAGAGCAAGGTATGCCAGGGAAGCGGGAGGGTGTCGCCTCCTTTACGCCTGGCCCAGGAATGCTTCTTCACCTTCTGACTTGCGGCTACCAGCTGCGTGAGGCTAGAATGGGTGGGGTCCTTGGTCCGACAGCCTCAAAGGGAAGCTCTCAAAGAAGGGATTCTCCCCCTGCCCGGGTTGGGTTTGGGCACCTTTCCAAGAAACTGTCAGGCTGAAAGAGAGGTTCAGTTATTTATTTTTATTTATTTGTTGGGTTTCTATCCCACCCTCCCCGCGAACAGGCTCAGGGCGGCTTACAGTTAATGGCACTATGTGCCAGAGTACATAAAACCAGATGAAACAACCATATCGTTACAATTAAAGTGCTCAACATAGAAATGCTCTTCCAGTCACATTGAAGATGGCATCCTGTTGATGGACACAAGTCCCAGTTCAGCCGTCTCTGTCTTGTACGTTACTGTGGCTCGATCTCCATATGGGCCAACCCCCTACCCCGGTGTTACTAACCATAATAGTTGGTGGTAGTGGTGGGCGGCTCCTAACTTAAAAGGCTGGTGGAAGAGCTCCATCTTGCAGGCCCTGCGGAACCCCCTTGCAAGCTACCAGCCTACACTCCCCACCCCACCCCCAAGGAATTCAGTGGCAAGTGAGGGCAGCGATAAGGATACAGGAGACAGGCCATGTGAAGCAGGGATGAACAATTCCACTGTTTCAGCAGACCCAGATGTCAAGTGCCTGAGCTTGACATACAGCCAGCCAGCCGTTCGCTCTCCTCCACACTTCTCTGCAACCGTTGCTGGGAAGGGAGGCCCGTGACTCCTAGACGAAGCCGCCGCCCCCCACCACCACCCTGTGGTTCTGGGCCGCCAGCTCCTCCCCCCCCCCCGGGTTTCCCCTCCTGCCCACCACCGGAGAGGCCTCCAAATTCCGCCCTCTGTCTTCCCCAGCTGTGATCCCGCTGACGGACTCCGATCACAAGCTGCTCCCCGTCCACTTCGCCGTCGACCCCGGGAAGGACTGGCAGTGGGGCAGAGACGACCAAGAGAACGTGAAATTGGCAAGGTGAACAGAGAGGCTGGGCTCGGTCCTTCCGCCCGTGTCTCCCGGGGCTTGGGAGGAGCCGGGGAGATTTTTCCCCGCAGAGCTCCTTCCATTTATGCTGTGCTTGAAACGTAGCTTGGATTCTGTAGTTAGAAGAGCCGGGAAGCGGGACTGAGAGGTCGGGAGAGGAAGCGCCGGTCAGCACCGTCTTAGGCTTCCTGGGGTGGGGCTCGGAGGAAGGTGCTGGAAGCGCCGCACAGATGTTTTCAGGGGCCGTTCCAGATGTTCAGGGTAGCAGTGCACGGTGGGCAGAGCTGCATGACTGGAGGGGGGGGCAGAGCTAGAGATGTGAAGGCCCGGGGAAAAAACGAAAAATTCAGAGGGGAAATTCCTGTTTTTTCCCCTGAAGCCTTTTTTGTTTTTTTCCCTGAAAAACTGGAAAAATTGAAAAAGGAAAAGAAAATAAATTGATTATGGAATGTTTTATTTTAACATGAATAAAATATTTAAAGACAAGGTATTCAGATATTTTCCAAATCATTTCTAAAAAATATGTATGGTATCAGATTGATCTAATTCCTGTGCACTGAGGACAAGCAAGTCCTAGGTTACAAACTGAACTCTCCAATGCAAGAACAAGATGCATTTCTTCCTTTAGGAGGTGCTATTGTCACAAGAAAAGAAAAAGGTTTCAGTTTTGTTTTTGCATGTGGGTGGGTATTCTGTTTGTAATAATTGTTTGGATATACTATATTTTTAATATGCTAGTTGTGATAATTTCATGCCAAGTAAAAATGCCCATAGTCATATTTTATGTTCCTAAAGTAACAGAATGACTTTTAATCTGGAAAAGAAAAAAGAAGTGCTAATGTAGCATTTTTTCTCAATTTTTCCAAAAGTTTCCTGTTTTTTTCCGAGCTTCAAAATT